GAGTTGTTCAGAGCATCTCTGGTTGCTTATCAGGATGCAGTGAGGGCTGCCAGAATAGCCTATTTTGCAGACATCATTGAGACAAACTCAATAATCCTAAGATTCTCTTCAAAACGCTAAACTCTGTTCTGGTGTATCAGGAGCCTAGCTCCAAGTCTCCTACAGCTGCAGGAAACTCTGAAGCTTTTCACAAATTCTTTGTTCATAAAGTGTCAGGCATTAGAGCAGTCATTTCTGGTAACTCTGTTGACCATGTCCCAGTTCCTCCATCACCACCCACCCTGAGCTCCCTCAATACAGTTTCATACTCTGAGCTGAGTAAGCTAGTTGCGAGGCAGAAGCCTTCTGGCTCTCCACTTGATGTTCTGCCGCCTCGTCTCTGGAAGGCTGACTTTCCGTGCCTTGGCCCTTCACTTGGTCAGATTATCAATGGGAGCCTCAGCACAGGTGTGGTCCCAGCTGCTTTGAAAGCAGCAGTTATTCGGCCGACCCTGAAGAAACCTGGTGCTGATGTCTCTGTGATCGAAAATTACAGGCCTATCTCTACCCTGCCCTTTACATCTAAACTGCTTGAGAAAGTCGTTTATCAGCAGCTGGTCTCACATTTAGTGGACTCTGATCTGTTTGAGGTTTTCCAATCAGGGTTCAGGTCTGGCCATAGCACAGAGTCTGCTCTACTGAGGGTCCTAAATGACATCTATCTATCACTAGATCAGGGAACATCTGTGCTGCTTCTGTTGTTAGACCTGACAGCAGCCTTCGACACAGTTGACCACGCGATTCTACTCGATCGCTTGGAACGATGGGTTGGGATCAAAGGGTCAGCTCGGGATTGGTTTAGATCGTATCTCCAAAACAGGACATTCTGTGTTAAACTGGGTGATGTTTTTTCTTCTTGGGAGGGGCTCCGGTGGGGGGTCCCGCAGGGGTCGATCCTTGGTCCACTTTTGTTTGCCATTTATCTGCTACCTCTGGGGTCAATCTTTCGTAAACATGGCCTATCATTCCATCTGTATGCTGACGGTTGCCAGATTTACTCTCCATTGTGTCAGGAGAAAGGTCACTCTATTCAGTCCTTTGTCTCCTGTCTTAAGCCGGGCGTACACTGTGCGACTTTTTCACTCGCAGCGTTCAGCTTCAGCTCAAACTGTACGACTTCCTCGCAGAGCAGATCTCACGAGTCATGTGCTCACACTGCACGACCCAGTTCTCGCATGCGACCTGACTGCTCACACTGTACGTCTGGTAGCAACACGTCGGCCCTAAAAATGTGCTAAAAATAGCAGTTTTTACTCAACACGTCAGACTTTTTTGTCTTGCCTGTTCTTCGGGAGTGCTACAGGACACACAGGGATTTATGGGGGTTGGATGAGGAAAACGAAATAAAGAAAGTGAATCTGTGTTTTGTGATCAGTTTAATTTGACATGAACACGACAAACACGCTTTCTTGACAATCTTTGTGAGTAAAAAAACGTGTAGAAACAAAAACGAACAGCGTGTGTTATTAGGGAAATAGCGAGCGACCGGCCGGCGTTGATGCAGGATTGCGCACGCATGCGCCGTGAGCGGTTCTGATACTTTTTGGATCGTAGCTGCTCGCAGCTGCTCGCAGCGCCGCTTCAACAGTGCGATACCCTCACGAGGGACGAGCGAAATATTAAACACACCAGAAGTCCCTGCAACCTCACGACTGCTGATCGGCGGCTGGTCACGTGGTGTTAATCGCCTCTCGTAACCCCCTGTACACTACACGACCGCTCGGCGCAAAACTCGCCCCGATGTCGTGGCTTCTCGCACGACTGGAAAATCGGCTCAAAAAAGTGAAAAAGTCGCACAGTGTACGCCCGGCTTTAATGAGGTGAAGTCTTGGCTAATGTCCAACTATCTACATCTGAATGAGGGAAAGACAGAGCTCATTGTTTTTCACCCCAACAGCAGGAATGTGGATCATTATGCTGATCTTGGCCCTCTTTCTCCCTACTCAAAACCAGTTGTTACCAGTTTGGGGGTGAAACTTGATGTAGGACTTAAATTTGATGCTCACATCAATTCTGTGATCCGGTCCAGTTTCTTTCACCTGAGACGCCTTGCTAAAATCAAGCATATGCTGTCGATAGCCCACCTGGAGCGGGTACTGCATGCCTTTGTAATTTCTCGGCTTGACTACTGCAACTCTCTATTTGCAGGGTTGTGTCAGTCAACACTGCATCGCCTACAGGTTGTGCAGAACAGCGCAGCCAGGTTCCTGACTGGGACCAGGAAACGGGACCACATCAGTCCAGTTCTGGCCTCCCTGCACTGGCTTCCGATTTCCTATCGCTCACAATTCAAAATCCTCGTCTTTGTTTATCATTTCTTCCAGGGTGGTGGTCCCCCCTATCTGGCCACTCTCCTGAACAAACATTCCCCATCACGCGCTCTGCGCTCCTCTGACCAAGGCCTGCTCGCTGTCCCTCGGTCTAGGTGTCGTACCCGTGGGGACCGGGCTTTCTCAGTCCTAGCACCGTTACTCTGGAACCAGTTGCCACCCTCAGTTAGGCTGTCCCCTTCTCTGACAGTCTTTAAGAATCACCTAAAAACACACCTCCTCCACTTGGCGTTTCCAGAACATGTTTGATTTTGGCCCTCTTTTATTTTGAATCCATTCCACAGTTTTCATTGGTTCACTCAATCCAATTGTGTTTCACACATTTGTATTTTACCGGAATGTTTCATCTATCTTGTAATTTCCATTTTGTATTTTGTAATTTGTATTTTGTAATTTGAATTTCTTTTATTGGTTGATTTATTCAATATAATTACTTACAACTGTACCATGTTCAGCGCTTTGGGCTTCCTGACAGGGTTGCGGAAGGCGCTTTATAAATAAAGCTTTGATTGATTGATTGATTGATTGAGAGGGCGGTGTGGGTCTGACTGACATTTCATTAACCCTGTAAAGGGTCATTTTAGCACATGCTGGAAAATCATTCAAAATATTAAAAAGTTGCATGTGCCTTTAAATAAAAATGAAAATAATCTGATTTTTTTCACTTTACTTATAAAACCCTGCACACCAAAATTGAAATATTAGATCACAGAACAGAACACTTTGTAAATTAATACATTTTAATAAATCAAATGAAATGTCAATAAATTTAAAAATTCTAACATTTTTATTGAATGATTTCATCCACGAGTCAACCACCAGAGTACATTTTAGTATCAACATCTTATTTAAACGAACAGTGAACGTCACTGGAGGAAAACAATACTAAAATGCAACACATTTTAAAAATGTCATAGAAAATGACAATGTTTGCATGAAAATATTTAACTTATTAGCCACCTTCTCATCATATGCTTGAATGTAACCCTTACTGCTCTAAATGAACAAAATTCTCAAAAAAAGATTTTAAAATCAGTTTTTTCTTGATGTAGAAGTGAAAAAATTTCAAAATCAAATAAGAAAAACATTAAGGTTCTGTTAGTTATCTGACCTAGTTCTGAAAATTGTGTTTAGCTTTAAGTTCACCATTTTTTAAAAGCTTTTTTCTTATCAACTAACAGCACGAGCAAAAGTTAAGGTGCTTCCTTTTAAGATGGAATTTTCTATAACAGTGCAATACTTATTAGAGAAAGGAAGTAAATTCACAAACTTAAGAGTTAACATGTGTGATAAATCCTATTTATCTGGTACATTACCTTTAATTTGTTTTTACAGATTTCCATTTTTCCCTCAAAACAAGTGATGGATGCTTCAGTTTTAATCTAATTTTAGTGAACAACAAAAATACCCAATGCTTTAGTGGATTTATATATATATATATATATATATATATATATATATATATATATATATATATATATATATATATATATAGTGTTTCTGATTCATTTTGGTAAAAAAAATATTTTAACATCTGGAAAATATATAGCAATGTAAAATAAAAAAGTAGGGGACTAAATACCATAAAGAGTCTTAGAGAAGTTCTGCATTCATGTTTCACAAAATATTCACCTTACTTTACTTTTATAATTATTTTATTGCTACTCATCTATGTTTCTGAGTATACGTTTTCCCTTTATTTTGCTTTATGTTTAAGATTTTCATAAATATAAAGAATTGTTTGGGGAAAAAAATAGTTAGCTGGCAGAAGTGCACCAAACAATATAAACATGTACTTTTGATGAATTGTGACCAGTAAAAAAACTGTAAATTACTCAAATAAAAAGTGAAAATACTGACATAATTACCAATAATTGATGCTGAATGTAGACACATTATAATTATCTATAAACAGTACTTACTAGAATCAAGTTTTATGTAGATTAAATGAGCCATGGCAATTTTATCCACAAGGTGGCGCTAAAAATATTAGATATACATTCAAGACAAATTTTGATTTGAGCGCTGAATTTTGCTCATTCAAACAAGTGTTTATCAAATAGTAGCAGCCATGACAACAGTTTGAATTTTCTTTTTTTATGTGCAATCAAATAAAAAATGACAAATAAAAAACGATGTGGCCTTGTATTTATATAGATCTAATAAAAAGGACTCAACATGTTGTCCAGTTCAAAACAATAACAAATTATGACGGCTACAGACATTAAAAACAAATTTTAATATTTCTAATTTGCCTTATTGATATCACGGATAACAAATATTCCCAAATGTAGAATTTTGTTGATATCGAGAACATGTTATTTAATTTAGGAAACGACATTTTTCATTCATAGCATATATTCTGCACAGGCTAATAGTTTTGATAAATTATTAATAATGGCCTACATGTAGAAAAAAATCCTAATTCCTAAACGTCTCTTTCAAAAGTGTAAACAACGCTGACATCTGAGAACTGAAGCTCGGTGGGACGACTCAGTGGGGACGTCTTACTGTGTAACACAGTGAGGAAACTGTTTACTATCTTAAATCTAACAAAAAAACTGTAAAACACACCGACATTGACCGTGAAATCATTGTTATTTGAATATATTATTCTGTAAACTGTACAGAATAAGTTTAAAGTAAAAACGGTAACTTTACCCCGGGCACCCTTCACCCTTAGCCTTTTTTTCCCTCTCCGTTTGATGTGCACTTCCGCGTCCTAGCTTGTGTTCTCTCCCGCTGACACACGGCAACTTTCGAACAGGAAGCCCATTAGACGCTTCGCTCTCCGTTGTCTCGCGTTTTTGCGGGTAAGTACAACATTTTTAAGAACACAATTCTGCTGGTTATAAGAAGCATTTTGAACTTTTTTCCTGAGTTTCTGTGATGCGTTTAAAGCAGGCTCGGATTAGCTGTTTGTTTTACCAAGAGGAATGGTTCATAACCCCCCCGCTCTCAGACGGTAGCGTCCACATACAGGAATGCTGTGCTCGGCTGGCCGCTTTGCATCTGTTCGTGTCTGGATAAAATAAGAAAGTCTTGTTCATAACCATTTTATTTATTTACTTTTTTATTATTATCTTGTAGCCCAACAGGCGTGAACTCTAACTTGGTGTCAGGAGTAGTTTGGAGAAACTCCTTCAGGTAGCAGTATTTGTTTTCCGCCGCAGCTTAGTGAGGATTTATGCGCCTCTGTTGTGTTTTATCTGAAACTGCAAATCAGTTTAATGTTCCCAAAGGGAGTTTTGTTGTGTAAGTGGTTGTCAGTGCAAAGTTTATTGCAGGGGACCTTGTGAAATTTGTTTTTTTTTTCTCTTCTGAAAGGGTGTCCCCCCTCCCAGAATTTTAAACAGGCCGAGTCTCTGAAGCTAAAATCAGCGTTGCCTCCAGAAAACTTCTGTTTTAAAGATTCATGGCAGAATTTGCCAACCTGGTGTCCCCACAATTTTGCAGGGGTCCCCGAAAAAGTTGTCTGTGCTGAGATTGTGAGGTAACCTTGACACGATACGCCGTAATGACTTCACCGACTCCGCAGGGGTTAGGGAGGTGAGGTATTCATAGTTAGTTTCAGCTCTTTAAACAACAATTTACATTTTCAGTTTATAAGCTTGACTCTCCCATTTTCTAGTCAGAATTGACAGAGCTCCTCAGATTAGATGCAAAACATCTATAAGAAACCAAAGAAGTCCAGTTGACCTAACTGGAACCTCTTTGGAAGAGTTACAGCTCTGTATACCTATAAATGTTGTAATGAATCACTTTTAATGTGTGTATGCTGGGGTTGGGGTGTCCTGGGTTGTCTTGGACACAAGCAAGGCGGTCCTCAAGGAGAGATGTTTGGGAACCATTGATATTTATACAGGGAACACGTCTAGAATGATCATGAACCATGTGTGTGCGTGGTTTGATTTTAAGGGAGCTTCAAGTTTGAGTTTTTATCCTAGTAGCAATGCAAACATTATTTCATCTGCTTGATTTCTTCCTCTAACGAGACAAGCCTGCTCCCAAAGTTGTTTGGTTGTTTCTTGGGAGGAAAAAACATCTATTTATTGCATTTTATGACACTAACATCTTAAGAAGATCTTCAGAATCACAACGAAATATAACCCCCCCCCCCCCTACTGCTCATCAGATGAGATGATCTGAAGTGGGTGCTTCCGTGCAGACAGAGTTCAATAACGAGTGTCTGTGCGTAATTGATTACCAATGATGATTCCTTTTTTCTCCGTGTGAAACGGTCGGCATTGCTCTTGCGGAACTGCTGAGTTTCCTGTGTTGACGGGAAACGGGTATTTATTTACTCTAGAAAAAAAAGAAGAGCTTCGTGTTCTTTGGGTGATGATGTGATGCTGGAACAGCATGGGTTGACTTTTACGAATCATCTCAAAGTCACAGCTGTCCAACCAGTTTGTCGTTTGAGGGCTTTGGAAGCATTTGCTTAAAAAATTCCGTTTTACGATTATTAACATTTAATTATGCTGGTTATTACATGCTCTGTGATGAGAGCGCTGCAGCTGGTGGTTTTGGAGCTGCCGAGAGGCCCCATGTGAAGCAGGCCCTGCTACTTCCTGTTACGCTCTGTTAGACGAGAGGAGTACCGCACTTGTCGTTTCTCTTTCTTTCTTTCTTTCTTTCTGTCTCTCCCCTCTTTTTCGGCAAGTGCAGGCTTGTCCGAAGCCCAAACACTACCTTCTCTTCCTTTTAAAGGAATGTTGGGTATTTAATTTGAGCGGCCGCGCACCTCCTTCCCTCCCTGCGTCTCGCTCTTTCTATTGTTCCAGGCCCACGTGAACTCACCCACATCCACTGCCTGCTAAGAGGGTCAGTCGGCAGATAAACCTGGGTAGTAACTATTGTTGTCAGCCTCAATGAGAGATGCCCAACAGCTGGAATGACAGGTAAAGGCACCCACAGTGGAAGAGCCTGGAGGTGTCCTAAGGGCCTGGAGCTATGTTGGTGGAAAGCTAATAATTTACTGTAGCTGGCCACGGACTTCAAAGGGAGCGCAGGGCAGGTATTCTTCTCTGGCTGTGGTTAGTTCGACGAACAGGCAGCAGATAATGAGAGACAGAGTGGACCGAGCTGCTCTTCTCCTCTCTGCGGGTCAGCAGTGAGATCCACTGATTCCTCATGAATGAGTTCACGGGTGACTTGCAGGAGAGCTCATAGGAAGATGGTTATGCTGTGCTGCACTTATTATGAAAGGATGCCTTAAAAAACCCACAGATGATCCCAGTACTGTTCAAAACGGCAAGCTGCAGCGTGCCACTGTGTTTCAGCAGTTGTTTGTGCAGATCACCCACGGATTTGTGCGTACACAAGAGATTTATGAGCTGTTGGAAGTATTAAGGTAGCTTTTAATGGTTTATTATTATTGATGTAATTATAATAATATGTTTGCATTATATCTAAATGGACAAATTCAGTTGGAAATCAATTATAAATGCAACTTTAACTAAATATTGCGAGTATTTTCTGACACTTTGATGCGACAGTTCCATTGAGGCCAGAAGTCTCGTGTGCACGACAGAAGAATGTAAACACACAACTCAGCAGGGATAGCTGTAAAGCAGAAGAGATACTGCAGCAGGTGTTGGTATTCTGTAGTGATGTGTGTTTAACAGCTTATGTTTCAGGTGTGCGGTATCTTGATAGTTTGAACTAAAATGATAAACGGTGTTACGATGCAATCAGATCTTCTTCACAGGCTGCATCCAGGTTGGGCTCGTCTATTCTTCCCAAGCAGAAATTCCTGTTTCTGTTGTTTTGCCACTCTTATGGGAAAACCTGTCTGTTTACGTTATGAACGGCTTTTACACAACAGTCCACATGAAAAAAACAACAACAACACCCATACACATTAAAGGGATTATTTAGCTTTATTGTGTGTGTGTGTGTGTGTGTGTGTGTGTGTGTGTGTGTGTGTGTGTATAATAAAGTAATGAAGCACTTTGAGACTTCTGTCTGCGAAAAGTGCTGTATTAATAAAGTTCTTCTACATTTAAAGCTGCAATGGTGAATTTGGAAAACAAATGAGCTTAAAACATTTTTTTCATGAATCAACGTTCTAACGTAGTATAGCTATAAATAGGGCCCGACCGATATGCTTTTTTTGGGACCGATACCAATATAAATCTTTTAACAAAGGCCGATAGCCGATATAATGGCCGATAAATCTCCCTCACACAACAAAATAAGAAATAAAAATTTTCTTAAGCTTAAACCCTTCATTCTCTGCTTTCTTAATGCAAACTTATTTTTCAATTCAATTCAAGTTTATTTATATAGCGCCAAATCACGACAAGAGTCGTCTCAAGGCACTTCACATAATAAACATTCCAATTCAGGTCAGTTCATTAAGCCAATCAGAAATAATGTTTCCTATATAAGGAACCCAGCAAATTGCATCAAGTCACTGACTAGTGTCTAGTGACTATACAGCAAGCCTGATACTAAGCAAGCATAAAGCGACAGTGGAGAGGAAAACTCCCTTTTAACAGGAAGAAACCTCCAGAGAATCCTGGCTCAGTATAAGCAGCCATCCTCCACGACTCACTGGGGATGGAGAAGACAGAGCAGGCACACACACACATACACGCACGCACACACACAAAGACAAGTAATGTGTCTATAGTTATATTGTGATGTCTTAGTAAATATTCTATTTGGTGAAAGATAAATTTTATTGTATCCATCCTCTATTACACACCAAAGAACTGTCTCAATAACTCACTAGGGTTTCCAAGTAATGCAAATAAGATTTATTTAGCAGATCTCAAAAACAACAGAACACACAAACTCAGTCGCAGCATAAATCTAACATTCAAGTTTTTTCTTGTAAACTGGTTTCCACAAATACATTTTAACTTAAAGGAATATTCCACCACTCAGTAAAATTGTGTCTTGTTAAGATTCCCCAGAGTTAGACAAGTCAGAAAAAGCATTTTATAACCAGCCCAATATGATCTGGCAGCAGTTGGTTTTCTTAGTTTAGCATAAAACAATGTAAGTGGATTCACATACATTATAGTGTTTTTATATGTAGGTGAATGCAAGCCTTCCCTTCCGTTGCTTTATGCTAAAACAACTGGTTACAAAATGTTGTTTCTGACTTGGCTAACTCTGGGGAATCTAACAACACACACACGTTTAGGGACAGAAGATCCCTATAAGAATATTAAAATAATAAAAATGCTGCAATAAATAAAACGTAATACGTGTGCTTTGTAGCAAAGTAACACTCTGGAAGTTAACTTGGTGAACTTATTCACCCTGGACAGGAAATAATTGCACATAAAAAACATAAATAGGAATAAATTTTAAAAAAAGTTCCAAAACAATAATTTGTGTTCAAAGTTCAAAGGAGCGGAGCCACACAACATGAGTTCATAAAGCTGGCACCATTTGCTGGATAGGTAGCGCAATATCAGCCATATCTGCCGACTTTTTGGCCGATAGCCGATACTGTTAATGACCCCAAAATCGGCCGATAATATCGGCTGGCCGATATATCGGTCGGGCCCTAGCTATAAATACGCTGTGAAGTAAAAAAAACTAACGAAAATAATTTCAGTGGTTTTTTGCATTTGTCTAAAAACCTCCGCCAATAACACATTTCAGACTAAAAGCAAGCATCGGACCATCAGATTTTTGGTCTTACCAAACCGCCGCACTTCCCTGGGTCCTCCGTTCATAACGCACTCACGCATTTAGCAACAGAACACCACTGGTGTGAGAGGTTCTCAGCTCAATAATATAAAAGAAGGAGAAACAGCTGGCTGCTACCACTTCAACTTTAGGACAAACTACC